AGCTATCACCAACATCTGCTTGAAATAACTCTTCTGGCCTATTTCTCTCCCCTGCTCTATGTGTTTTCAATCCTACTGAATTTCCATGTAACCACGGGCAGTATTGGCTTGTGGTGCTGTACTAACTGTGAGTCAAGCGTGAAAATGTGCCTCTACACGGACAAGTAACAGTCACATATACCATCAGGTGCAGCTGTGGAGGAAGATTAGCTCTGTGTGTCACTGCCACAGGAGAGCCTCTGCTGATACTCAGAGGTTGCTGAGGTGAGGTACTGATCATCTTTAGTTTTCAGGAATTCCTATGGCTTGTGAGGCCAGGAGGCTTTATTTGCCATGGAAGCTTTACCCTTTGTACTACCCTGCTCCCCCAAACCCTCTTCTGTGCAACTTTTGCAAATCACTCTGAGCCATAGACAACAGCTCCAAAGGGGCAACCACTGGTGTGCAAGCACTGCAGGGCTTAATAGTCCTATTATGAGGGCAGGAGTTTGTATTTCCTTTATGCATGCAAGAAGTACCACCTCCACCAAGGCCCATTAAGGTTTTCCTGTCTCCAGCTGATGCTAAATCTGTCATTTAAAGTAGAGGTGACTCTCTCAAAAATGCAGCTTATGTCCTGGGTAATTTCCGTAAGTGGCAGCACAAAGCCCCTGGAGAACAGCCTTCCAGTTGCTTACAAATCATCCTCACAGCAATGCATAAGGTCAGGAAAAAAAGATTTCCAATCTCTGCAGAGGTGTGTCCATGCTTATAGGCACTACCAAGGGATACCGTAGCTAGGCACAGGCTATACAAATGATGGTGGGAGAATGAGGGCAACTCAGCTGTTTGCCGGGAGCCCTGTGTTCATTTGCCAATTCAGAGTTGAGTTCAGCTTGCTTTGGAGGAGGAATGGAACCCACCTCCAGAGTGAGGCATCCCACCCACCAGCCTATTTGAGAATTTCCAGATCACATTTATTCACACCATCCTCTTTTGAGTACATGAGGAAAACTTGCTAGGGCATTCCTACCTTTGGAGGCAGTGAGCTGATTATCTGATTTGGCTTCTCTTTCTGGCTGTCCCAGACAAGACAGAGGAAGAGTCAGGGTTCATTCAGCTCTGAGCCGCAGGTTTTTGAAGACTCTTCCCTATGCCACCTCACTCCTCCTTGCTTTAGGGGTCTGTACCTGGAGCTTTGCATTCCCATATGTGCTTAGTGGCCACTGCATGGAGTGGAGCTCTGGCCAGATGGCACTGGCAGGGACTCATTTGATAAACTCTACAGTGACAGACTATTGCCAGCCTTCTCCCTCTTTTTCCTTCCCCTGGACCTGCCCCCAAATCCATTTGCTATTAGCAGGCTGCTCTTGTCCCTGCAGCAACATCAGAACAATGCATCTGAACACCTCCCAGTACAAGGTGGCTTTTTGTAAACCACAGCACTTAAACTATGATATAAGCACCAATGTGGGTGGGGAGTGGGTGTTCCATACCCTTTTTTTTCAGTTCTTTCATCCCTTTGGGAAGGAATGCCATCCAGAGGGACCTTGACACACTTGTGAGGTTGGCTGATGCCAACCTTATGAAGTTTAATCATGCAAAGTGCAAGGTCCACAGGACCTGATGTAATCCATCTGTGGGTCCTGAAGGAGCTGACGAATGAAGTTGCCAAGCCACTGGCCATCATATTTGAAAAATCATGGCAGTCAGGTGAAGTTCCCAACAACTGGAAAAAGGGAAATATAACCCCCATTTTCAAGAAGGGAAAATGGATAACCCAGGGAATTACAGACCAGTCAGTCTCACCTCTGTGCCTGGCAAAATCTTGGAGCAGATTCTCCTGGAAGGCATGCTAAGGCACATGAAAAACAACAAGGTGCTTGGTGACAGCCAGCATGGCTTCACTAAGGGGAAATCCTGCCTGACCAATTTGGTGGCCTTCTATGATGGGGCTACAGAACTGATGGATGGATAGAGCAGTTGATGTCATCTACCTGGACTTGTACAAAGCATTCAACACTGTCCCACACAACCTCCTTATCTCTAAATTGGAGAGACATCAATTTGATGGATGGACCACTCGATGGATAAACAACTGGCTGGATGGCTGCGCACAAAGAGTTGTGGTCAATGGCTCAATGTCTGGCTGGAGACCAGTAACGAGTGGTGTCCCTCAGGGATCGGTGTTGGGACCGGTCTTGTTTAACATCTTTGTCGCTGACATGGACAGTGGGATTGAGTGCGCCCTCAGCAAGCTTGCCGATGACACCAAGCTGTGTGGTTCGGTTGATACGCTGGAGGGAAGGAATGCCATCCAGAGGGACCTTGACACGCCTGTGAGGTGGGCTGATGCCAACCTCATGAAGTTTAACCATGCCAAGTGCAAGGTCCTACACCTGGGTCGGAGCAATCCCAGACACAGCTACAGGCTGGGCAGAGAAGAGATTCAGAGCAGCCCTGCGGAGAAGGAGTTGGGGGTGCTGGTCAATGAAAAAATGAACATGAGCAGGCTTCAGTGTGCACTTGCAGACCAGAAAGCCATCCGTATCCTGGGCTGCATCAAAAGGAGTGTGACCAGCAGGTTGAAGGAGGTGATTCTGCCCCTCTACCCTGCTCTCGTGAGACCTCACTTGGAGTATTGTGTGCAGTTCTGGTGTCCTCAACATAAAAAGGACGTGGAACTGTTGGAACAAGTCCAGAGGAGGGCCACGAGGATGATCAGGGGACTGGAGAACCTCACATATGGAAACAGGCTGAGAAAGCTGGGGCTGTTCAGCCTGGAGAAGAGAACGCTGCGTGGAGACTTCATAGCAGCCTTCCAGTATCTGAAGGGGGCCTATAGGGATGCTAGGGATGGACTCTTCATTAGGGACTGTAGTGACAGGACAAGGGGTAATGGGTTAAAACTTAACCGTGGAAGTTTAGATTGGATATAAGGAGGAAATTCTTTCCTGTTAGGGTGGTGAGGCACTGGAATGGGTTGCCCGGGGAGGTTGTGAATGATCCGTCCCTGGATGGCTGGGGGTAAGTGGCATCTTACATGATTGCAGTTTGAAGCTAAATGAATAGGAGGTAAAACCCTACATATTTCTGGGGTTTAAGCTTAAAGTACTTTACATGCTCCTGGGAAACCAATTTTATGTTGCTGTTGGCAAGTTTTATAGGTAAGTTTTTAATCCTTGTTCTGTTAATGAGACAGCTAATGCACAGAGGGTGTGATCTTTCCCTCTATTGTAAGATGTACCACGAACCATGCAAAATGTCCCCAGATCAGAATGGCAGTGTCTTATCTGCACCTCTGGGGATGATGCATGCACAGCAAGACACTTGGCAATGGATAGGAAAGGCCAGAGAGATGCAAAGCTTCCGGGGACCACACACATTCCTGCTGCTTTTTGTTTGGCATGGGGTGTTTCAGGAGTGATCTGCCTGGGGCCAATCTGTGCAACTCTGAAACACGATTCGAACTCGGGTCTCTGATCCCTGCTTGTGTGATTGGACTGGGTTCTGCTTCCCTTAGCACACACAAGGAAGCATAGCAGGCTCCATTATTCAATTTCCCAAGAACCACAAAGTTAATGGTGGAAATGCTCTTTTTGGAAACATTTGTAATTGGCAGCTCCTGCCAAGTATTAACAGGCCAGTAAAATCTTTCTACATAAATTGTGTTGTAATTAGTGTGATTTGTTTAATGTCACCTTGTCTGGCTGGCTGAGAAACTGTCTCAAAATGTAAAAGCACCACACTTTTCAGCTGAGAGAGTGGAGTCTGACTGCACCAAGATGTTTTATTTCTCTCTATTATTTTTACCATGGCCTTTTCGAATCACTCAGTTTTGTGAATTTAAGCCGAGTTAGTCAAGAATTCCCAGGTGAGGAAAATTACACACATAAGACATCATAACAAGAAGCGTGGTAAGGTAAAGGTAAAATGCTAATAATAATTAATGGATATTGTAGTCAGTACACAAGGCAACACAGTAAAAACCTCCTAATACCCCCAAAATACTTGGTACATGTGCAAATTAGCCATTTTAGGGGGAAGCGATGGAAAGGATGAGGGGACAAAGTAGTTTGCTTGCTGAAAAAAGGTATTAGGAACTGACTAGCTTCCTTGGTGTCCTTCAGCTCCCTAAGAGTCACACCCAGGTCCGAAAGGCAAACATGAGTGTTGGCAGTTTTCCTGGTATGTGGAAAAAAGGGGAGTAACAGGAAAGAAGTCAAGGGGCACTGATAAGACGAGAGTGCAACAGGAGAGCTGCACTGTGCTTCCCTGCGGACTCCAATACATTAAATAATGCCACAGCTCGAATGTGGTTCCATCATTGTCCATCAGAGCCCAGAAAACACTCATGACAGGCACAGCAGGAGGAAAACCAGTCAGGTCTTACACACGCTGGGTGTTGCAACCTGATAAAATGACTTTTACCTTCCCCATCCCATGAACATCAGCAGCAATCTGAGAAACAGAGAAGGAAAAGGAAAAAAAAAAAAGATCAGGGAGTCTTTTAAAGCATAAGAAATGGTTTGGGGTGAAAAAGGTGCAGAAGGAGCACTGGATGCTCAGCTCGCCACCAGCATTTTTCACCTTTAATCTTCCTTACAAATGTTCTGCTTTTATTCCAGCTAATTGAACGAGTGTCTTAAAATTCATAACACAAACTGAATTTGATTAAATCTAACTTGGTTCATATGATAAAGCACTGCGGTTAGAATGCAGCTAGAAAAATGCATTATGCTAGGACAAATAAGTATGGTTAACTTCAATAAGAGGAGAGGTAAATTGCTTTCTGCGTGTGATGTGCAATTTCACCTCAGTACAGCTTTAATCAAAGTAAAATATTATAGGACACAGGGTAAAAAAGCCCCTCACAATGTAACATTTTGTCTGTTAACCACTCAGTAAGATTTAAGGTAAAAATTGCTAAATAAAACCAATGCTGTATGCTATCTGTCCCCAGTTAGTAGGTAAACAATCAAGGCAATATCTGGCTATAAACTAATTCATATTTATAACAGATCAAAACTCAGTGGTAGTCAATGTGAATGCAAGCTGTTCATCAGAAGCTTGTTTGACACCCAAAGTTTCACTGGAAGGGAAAGAATGGAACTAAATGTAAGTATTTAGTGGAATTTGCATTTACATTTATGCCAGTGTTTTCACTCTTTTGTCTTTGCTCTTCAGTGTCCATGGTGGATGTTATGTTACCAACACTGAGTGCTCAAAATTCCCACCTATGGCTTATTGCAACCTACCTTCTATTTGGAGAGGACCTGCTCTCTTCTGAGAGGTCAGCATTAGTATGCAGCTATCATTCCCTGCTTTGTCTGTATGGATGCCTTCTTGTATCAGAGTGGGGTCTCCTGTAACCCCTTTCTCATGGGACAGTAGCTGAAGTTGTACCACCGTTTGGGACACAGCAGGAGGCTGGGATAGCTCTGACACACTGCAGTGCAGCCCAGATGCTGGAAAAAAAAGCTCGATCTTTGATTGCATCTGGGCCTTCTCTGTGTCCAGGATGGGAAGACAAGGTAGGTTTCAACAGAGCCTCAAAAGGGTTTCATGATCCCATATTTCTGTGTGCTATGGGAGTGTACTGCCTAAAATGGGGAGACCCACATTCTCCAAGGAGAGAGCTGACTATATTAAAAATGGAAGCCACAGAAGACATAGGCTTCCTTGTTCATTGCAAGACTCCTTTGGCTCCAGCACACCCTCTCCTTGAAGGTTTCCTCCTTTGCTTGCCAGCTGGGCACCACAACCAGCCAGTGTAACTGTAGAAGAGGAAACAGCACTGGACAGTAGGAGTCATCAACCCTTGTGCTGGTGAATCAGCAAGCTGCAGGCTTCTGGGACCAAAAAAGCCTCCCAGACAAACCCTACACATCTGTCTGCCTTGGAGGAAACTGAAGGAAGTTCTGTGACATGCTTCCTGTGGGCTGCCTAACTGCATAGGGAGAACTGAACTAGTTCCGACCATCTGCACTATGGGTGACGCAGCAACCTGGAGAGACATCAGAAATGCCTTGAGAAAACTAGTAAGGTAGTTCTCCACACCGTGTCAGCTGGAGTACAAATAAATTAAATCAAATGTGTAAAGCCTTGTGTTTAGTTAAACGTTTGGTAGAGGTAGAGATGAGAGTTCATTAGATAGAAGACATTATGGACAGTTTAGCATGAAGTACCACATACAATCATTACTCAGAAGACATCAGGGGTTTGTTGTCTCATCATTCAGCATGCTTTTTAATGATTATACAACCAAAACCATCTTAGCTTGAATTTTATGAGAGAATTTTAGCTTCTTGGAGGCAAGAAAAGGAGGGACACGACACCCTCTAATCTCTGCAAGTTCAAAACTGGTTTGCACAGAAACTAATTCTGGTGTGATGGAAAGGTGATGTGTGCTTTCAGGTATCCTTTACACCGAATGCAGAGCTCAAAAGAGACCTTTGCATGGCCTAACTTTGGGCACCCAGCTTTAAGCTTTGGGTGTAAGGCTGGATTGGCTGGGGAGAGAGACAGTCACTTCCTTCCAGCACCAAGGGCAGGGTCCTGTTCTGGCTCACTTGACAGCCAGAAACTCCAGCCTGGGAATCGGGCATCCTCCCCAGCAGACAGAAGGTACGGAGATATGAACAAGTTAGTGCCTCCCATTACACGGAGAGGTCCTCCTCACCAGCTGGCGTAAACCAGGGCTCACAGTCTTGCCAACAGGCTGCTGAATCTCCTTTATGGCTGGCCCTGGCAAGAAAAGGGGTAAGGGAAATGTGACCAGCAGTCTCTTTGCAGAGGCAGGTAACAGCTCCAGTTACCTCTTACCATCCCCTAAATCTGTGGCATAGGTCTGGGGACCCTGGAAACCAAACACACTTCAGCAGTAGCCTGAGGTGAGGTCATAGCCCATCTGAGAAGATAGGAGAGCACTGAGGTGAAACAGTCCATTTCTGCTTCGAAGGAGACTCTCCCTCCTTTGAAATGGACACAATGCCTCTTTGTATGACCATGTGCCCCCGATTTCATAGGGACTCCTGGATCAGTTCCCATGAAGGCAATGGCATTTTCTCTGCTTTCCTTCTCCTCTTCCCTGTGGCCACATCCCTGGCACGTTGCAAAGCCAATGCCCCTGCCCCTCTGTGTGAGAATTCCAACAGGGGGAAGAGACAGGAGCTGCAGTAAAAGCGTGGTCTTCTGACACTCCTGGGATACAGGCTGAGCACATCTGAATGACCATGACCCTTTGGGCATGATCTTGGCTACCTTTACCTGGCCAGTACTTTGCCTTGAGGCATGAAATCATCCCACTCTGAGGGAAGTGTTCTTGCACAAGGACTTGGACTCAGCTGTAACATCCCAACTTGCTTCTACTATTTTTGGAGACTGTCTAAAATAGTGAAGCATGTGACTCCAGCTGAAATCCATCAAATCTCTCTAGTCTTCGGAAAATGTGCCTTGGTGCCTATGGGATAATTTTTAATCCACCACATCCAATGACTCAGATCCTTCTCATGTCAAGACCAAGAGGTCTTGAATGCAGAGGTGAATGTTCTCTTCTGTGTAGCAGCTCCCTTCTTCCTCCTGAGCCACCTTCCTTCAGCAAAGGATCTACCATCTCTGTCTCTTGAGGATCCACCAAGGTTTTCTGCTCCATGTTTTCAGCTGTCATTTAATTCACATCCTTCCTCTTAGACCCAGAGAGTGAATTTTTCTCTTTCCAGCCCCTCAGTTTTATTGGTGCACAAAGGTTGCACAGAGCCTTGCAAGTGATGTGATTTAACTGGGAGTGTTTCACCTGGCCAGATCAGAATTTACCTTGACTGCACACAGATCAGTGTTTCAAAATGCAATACTTCATGTAATTTTGATTCTGTCAGTAAAGGCTGCACTGAAAATCTCATCTGGGTTTGTCAGTGATACATTGACTAAAAATACCAGGTTTAAAGGAGGTTACGTAAACAAAGGAAGAAAGACTCTAATCTCCCAATGAAGCTAGTCCTTTCAAGAGAGAATGAGAAATTTGGGGAGTAGAAGTCGTTTCAGTCCAAGGGAGATAGATATTGTGTATTTCAACAAGCCAACATATTAGTTGTGGATACTCCACCCCTGGCAGTGCTCAAGGCTAGGCTGCATGGAGCTTTGAGCAACCTGGTCTAGTGGAAGGTGTCCCTGCTCATGGCAGGGGGTTGGAACTGGATAAGCTTTAAGATCCCTTCCAACCCAAACCGTTCCATGATTCTATGATTTCTGGATTAAGCAGTGGTATAATTACTCAGTTTCTAGTAGGTGTTGTTAGGCCACAGTAGGTGTAGTTCAGGCCACAGTCTGAAACCACATCAGTAAAAACTGATCACTTAGTTTAAGCTGCATCTCCCAAACAGTTTAAGCTATGCCAATTGTAAAACAACTTAGATAATTTCCCCAGTGCAGGCAGGCTTGAAGAATCATAGAGTCATAGAAGAAAAGAGTCTATTGCATTTCATGTAAGTGAAAAACATATGACATTCAGTTGCTCACCAGAGCCATTGCTAAATGAATAATGGATAAAAAATGTCAGTTATCCCCATGCCCTTAACTCAGGCACAAGAAAAACCACCAGTGGTTGAAGGTTTCGTTCAGCCTGGTGTGAAACTTCCCAACAGGAGTCCCAGGAAGAAAAAGGTATTTGCCACTGCTTTATATGTAGATTACTTTCCCCATGACCACTCACTCCACTGTAAATTTCTTCTGCTCTATGGATTTATACACTAAGAATATGAAATGGGGAAGGAGTATAAACTCTCACTTTGTAGTATCACTGGCTTGCATATTGCAGCTCAGCAGTCATGGGCAGCATCCAGCATTAACACTCAAAGGGAGCTGCCATATTTATGACTTCTCCAGCCTCACGAGCAGGGAAGGCTGGCGAACAGTGACTGAAGCACAGCTGAATGAAATGCATAATATAAAGAGGGCAAAAGTCAAATATGTTTTGAATCTGAATTCCTAAAAAGTGCAGTTTATGCAGCCCTGGGTGAGGGGGTGTGTGTGGCAGGTTGCTCCTTCCACAAGCCCCACACCAGAGTTCGGTCCTGCTGACCTGCTGATGATAACTTTTGACAGAGGGGTCAGCAGACTTTGAGGCAATTCAGTTTGTCCATGCTGGATGGAAACAGATACTTATGCCTCACAGGTGGAAAGGCTAATAAACTCACCCCTTGTTAGGCATCAGATTATGAAGAGAGGGCAGAGGCTTTTGAAAATTACCCACTTGTTCTGCAGCCCACAGAAGTTCCCCTCCCCTCCGTGGCTTAAACTGGCTATGGCCAGGATGAAAAGTATTTCTGCATGTATTTAAGATGTGTTTGCCAGGTTCTTCATTAAAAAAAACCCATTTCTGATGTGCAGGTCACCTTGGAAGAGGTGGCTACAGTCAGGGTCTGATTCTGTTACCCACTGGCTTTGTGAAACTATTGCAGATGCAGATGCTTGTCCGTGGGAGCAAGGCTGCCGTCACCCAGCCCAGGCTTTGCTAAGGTCATTATACATCACATGGGGTAATAGTTTCTTCTCTGACCAGATAATGCAGGCAGCCCTCGGTGTGCACTGCTTCTTCTGAATTACACCAGTTCCTGTGCAATGTGAAGTGGGTGCTTGACTCTAAAGTATCTGTTCTTTCATTTGTGGTGGTGAAGTTCAGGCTCCTCAGTAAGTGGAGAAAGTAAGTGCTGAATCTACAAAGTGGCCAAATATAATCGGAAAGATTTTCTGAGCCATGCTCTGCCACATAGTGAAAGAAGTTTGCATTTTGGGTTGGCCATATTGGGTTTTGGGAGGGGGAGTTTTCCAAGATCTACATTTAGAGGAATGTTTTGCAAGATCTATGTTTTTACACATATCCAAAGGGCACTGCTTCCATTAAGATCCCCAAATACACTGATTTCCACAACAAGCAAAGAAATTCATAATGGTGGATGCAATGACATCAAAGGCATCAATTACCTGTGTTTATAACTAATGTGTTTATGTTACAGCAATGGTAAGCGGATGTTCACTGCTTCTTATTGCAGGTGATAGCAGTGCTTAGTTTTTTCCCTCCATGTTCATAAGATGGCAAGAGGGGACAATTTTCAAAACAGTGGCTAATATCAAATGCCTCCATCCAGAGAATGGTGTGAGCACACTGTCTGATGTTCAGAGGTGAAAAAAGCACCAGCAGCTTTCATTTCATCACTTTGAAAATCAGATCACTAGCTCTACGGCTGCTGTGATTGATAATGTCAGTACTTGCTTCAGAAATGTCCATGCTCACACCTCTGAAGAATATCCAGAACAGAAGTCCAGGGCTATGAAAGAAGTTTTGGCCTACAGTGCATCTGAACAAAGCAAAGCTCGCACTGGGGTACTGATTATTCCAGGTCTATGGGATGGAAGCAAGCCCACTCTCCCCACACGTCGTGGTACCAGCCTCCACTCAAAAAACCTCCCAAACAGTAAAAACTTTTGACTTGATTGCAACCACTAAAGTGAGATTAAACGTATAACCAGGGCGTAAACTGAGATCCCTCTGACTCTGAAGAGAGCCTGAAGCAGTGATTACATGAACTTTCAACTTCAGCTCATTCAGGGCTGTGGGCTCTCAGTTGTGAAGCTGTGTTTTTTAAAGGGTATTTTTTCTCTCTCTCTGTCTTTTTTTCTTTTAGCTACAGGGTTCATTATTTTGCAGAGGATGGGTCTCTCTGCCCTACAGGGATCTATCTATCACTGCATCTTCTCTACATGGAAGAAGTAATTGGATTGTACTTTCTGCACATGATCAGAGCTGTTGGCTGGAGAACTAAGCTGTCTAGAGGGTAGGAAACCATATGATGCCTAAGAAAACTAAATGTCTGAGTCTAACTGCAAGACCTTTTCTTTCTTTCCATAGAAGAGCTGGAACATGCTGAACCGCACCCACCAAACTGCACTAGAACTTTGGGAAGGTCCGTGAAGCCTTCAGGAAGCAGAGAAAAACATAACCACCCAAATAATCCCAGGGGCATTAAGTGTCTGTGCATATATAACACAATAAGCCATACTATGAATGTGAACAGCTAGGGACATTTGCTATCACATAGCTGGGGTATTTGATTATGTAGGAGCAACTGCAACCCTTCAAAAAATGCAATTATTTCATATATATCCAGATAGGGTCATATTTATTGCTATTCTGTTACCAAATGCCATGCTGCAACCTTAAGCATTGTGCTGTTTCTCTATTCTTAAAGACACCAGAATCCTGACATCATCACGTTCCTTGGAGTGATCTGGGGAAAGTGCAATATTGCCAAGACTTCATGCTGTAAGTCTTCAAGCACTTAGTTGATTTATACTTTTCCTTCAAACAAATGCCTGCTTGCCACTGTCAGCCCTGCACTCCTCATCCCCACCTCCACCGCCTTAGATCCAAGCTTAAAAAAGAAGCTGTTTGGAGCCTGATGTGTTTCTTGTAGCTATGTTAGAGAAACTGTACTATTCTGGGAGCAGTCACGCTTCTCCAAACAGCTTCTACAGCTGTAGCATCATACATGGTTTTCATCTCAGCCATAAGAAGTTTCACTGGTCTCCTACCAAGCCCCAGCAGCCAAAATCCAAGTGCTGGCTGATTGTCTGCAGGGCCTAAGGAATGTATGTGTACATGTGTGAGTGTGTGCACATGGGTGTATGCATGCACACTCATTTATTCATGTGAAGGAGAGGTCTGATGGTCAGCTTGGATATGACCCTAACCCTGTTACAGCAAGATTCATCCTGTTGGTCTGACTTAGACGAGTGGCTGGCTCATTCTAACATACAGCACTGACATGGTTTTGCAGACCTGAACAAACCACTGATGAAAGGCATACCAATGGGATGTGTTGCTTTGCTCTGGACAAGCCGTCATTTCCCTCTGCCCCTGCAGTAGAGGCAGAGGAAGGTGGTACATGCCCATATGAAGGTCTGCCTTGGGAGAGCCCCCACCTAGGCTGTGCCATGTTAGATAAACATGAGGACTGCTTAGCACGACTGTGCTACACCAGAATGTCACCCCACAACTTGTGCTCAGCAGCAGCAACATGGTTTCTTATGCAGGCTGATTCTTGCATTTCTCCTCAATAAATATTTGCATCAACCTTGACTGGAATAAAAGCACTGACACACAGGGAAAACTGTTTGCTGTTATTTTCTATTTATAAAAAACACAAATCTCAAGATGAACCCAATTCTCCTACTGCAAAGATTATTTGTTACATGAAACAGCTAGAGCAGAATGGCTGAAAGAAGCCATTCCTGAAATTTACGAGGAAAAAGATTGTTCTTTACAGCCACAAAACATCCCATTGTCCCACTCAGTGTATTAACATTCACAGTAAAAGATGGCAGTTGCAAAAATGTGGCAGAGTAGGATCAAATCAGTATTTCTTAAATGGTTTTGGAATGTGCAAACTGATGTTTTGGAATAATAACAGAGATAGTGCAATGTTCTGAGTTTTCAGAGTTTCTGAGGGGTTAGATTCTAAGGTCTACCTGACTTAATGCCTTCCAAACTGCAGCTGAATGGAAGATGTTCCAACAGGACAGCTCAGGGTGTTCTACTTACAAGTTGGATGAGTTATATTTTATTTCCTTTTTTATTTTTAAGTAAATCAATAATTTAATTGGTGCTGTGATGGAAAACTAAAATTATGCAGAGCCATACAGTAATCTGCTGCAGATACAGTATGAGTTGGTGCATATGTGCATGCCTGTATTTGTGTTGTAATTTAAAACATAACATCATCCCAAGCTAAAAAGGTTTAGAGACTTTCTCTGAGAGAAAATCTTTTCACTTCAGAAAGAGGACCCAGGGTAGTGAACATCAGTGTGGCAGCCAAAAACAACACTTAAACCTTTACCAGTAAGAGATGGCAAAGAAGTTAAATAGATCTCCCTGCCTTCCATCCCAAACATCACTGCACCAAGATTAGCCTCTCGTTCTCTGTGCTGACAACTACATGGTGTTTCTTGTCCCCACCAGCGTATACAGCATGCTTGCTTTGAGACAACCCTCTCCATCTCCATGTGTCTGAGCTGCAGTAGGTTTGGATTAATAGGAGCAGGATTTTGCATGGGCCGTGGTGCTGTGAGATGCAGCAAAAACAAAGAAACACGGACCTTTAGCTCGTGAGAAGCTGCAGACACCAGGATTTCAGTATGCAGTATGGCTGAGGCTAAACTTGGTATCATAACAAAACGTGGGTCTAAATAAAAACTGTCTTAAACTCCCAGGAGATTTGCTTCTTCTATGCGATGACAGTTGTTAGAGAGTAGCTCTCCTACAGAAACAGCCGTGCCAAATATAGCGTACTGGAGTAAAAGCAAGACTGGAACACTGGAAGTAAACTAAAGATGCTTTCCTTGCTCTCTGAATGCAACTCCATTTCTGCAAGAGGTCATGGATGTAATATCTGAAGGTAGCTAGCCCTCTAGCTGTGTGATTCCCTCAATTACTAATGCAACATAGCCAATCTTAGTCTTTCTTGAGGCCATGGTCTGACTTGGGAGACTCCTTTATGCACCAGCCCCAGAGAAGCTGGTGGGCAACTTCTTCTCCTGGTTGACTGCCAACTGCTTTGAAGGGAGGCCACTGGGAGATCCTGTGTATGTCACTTTTTCAGCTGGTCTGCTATTGATCAGTTGCATAGCTAGCCTTGATTTAGATGCAGGCAGGAAGATGCAACTAAGGAAAGGAAGAAACCAAACGCAGATGTTTGCCCACTTGACCACATTGGTGTATTTTCTGACAATTTCTGTGCCGCCTCCCTCCTCCTGCTCTGCACAAGGTGGTGTGTGGGTCCCTCACACAGCTGCTGCGACCTGCAGGAATTTTGGAGGCAGTACAAGCTGCAGGACCTGGAAGACAGAAAAGTGATGACCTTGTCTGGAAACTTAGATAAACCAAAGGCAAAGCTTCCCCTTTCCTCCATAGGCCTGGATTTCCAAGCATCAACAGCACTTGCAAGAGAGCTTCTAAGAAGATTCATTCTTTGACCTTTTTATTCCACAAAGACTTCCTCCTCTGCATCTTCTTTCTGATTATTTGTTTTAATGTTGTTTTGTTTGTAGCTGCTTGAGCAGACAGAGGACAACTCCACAAAACCCCTTGTATATAAGTTCAAAACCCAAGCTAGAAATGGTTTCGACTGAAACCAGGCTGGCTTTCACCTGCCTCATCCATAGCCCTTTCAGCTACCCTGAGGAGCAATCTTGTGGGAAGAATGCTGCAACAAGGCGAGCCTGGTGTGGCTTCTTGGCAGGTCAGATGAAAACACAGCCGCACTGCTAAGCGCTGCTGCTGGGCTGCATGAGGGATGAGATGTCTGAGCACTTTTGTGTCCCCACAGTGTGTCACCACACTGCAAAATGGAGACTCACTTGCTACAGGGCCAGGACAGAAACTGCAGCCTGACTGAGAAATACCTTCCTTAATGATCCCTGCTATAAAATTCCCCTATGTGCGCCAGTGGGAGTTTTGCCTAAATAAAAACTAGACTTTGGACTGCTACAAAATGGGAGATGTCCTAGGGGAGTTTGCATGTCTCTAAGTGATGGCTGGGCAGACCATGTAGCCTGTGGCTGCCAGTGCTATGGAGCTCGCTTGATACTTAAAACATAATCAACAGTCTAGGCTATAAGCCTGCACCATTTAATTTTAAAATTAAAGTCATTTTCTGAGTAATAGGAGCACATTTGTGCTTGGAAAACATCGAGCACTTAGCATCTTTTTTGATTTCAGTGCTAGAAGAAAGAAGGGGGCACAGAGCCAGGAAATAGTTTTTCTTGGCTGAACTCTTGTAGGCCAAATTTTAGTCCAGAGGGGGGTTTTTATTGTGACTCAGTGGTAAGTTTCTGAACAAAGAGCTTAATGATGTAGAGGCAATACTATAAAACGCGTTTAACTCTAGCTGTGCTGGTGTTTTTGATAACTCCTGGCACCAATTCTTTCCTCTTACAGCAGCGTGAGAACACTTGTAAGAAAGTGGATTGAAACCTTCCTTGGGGATTTCTGTAACAAAGTAAAAATTTAAGTGCTTTGAAATCTGTGGGAAGACTTAGTATCAGGTAGACTAGATAATTTGAATTACTTAGAGGAATCATGATTTTGAAAGCTTTACTTCATTCTTGCAAAAACTAGTTTGCAGCAAAATTACCTTCCAAAAGCTGCTTTACATGCTCCCTTAATGAAGTTCCGATTTACATGTAGTTTGTAGATATGACTTCTCTTCGCTAATGTAGTTTTCTTCCATTTATTCAAGGCAGATTTCTGGTTTAAGGGGAAATATTATGTAGTGTGGATAGCTGCTTTTGGAGGAATTACTGCAAATATCTCATTTGTACTGCTTATGTTCTTCCACTCAGAAATCCCACACCTCACTCCTCCTTGAAGGAGAGGATATTGTGTTTGAGTTATTACAAAGCCTAAAGCATTCTTAACATTGACTACAACTAATGACATATATTTTATATGCCTTCTCATTTTGGAAATGTTATGACTCTTCAACATGGGAGAGGTGCTTCCTACTTCAAAATCTATTCAACCTCTATTTTTTCCCTCCAAAAGTCTGGGCCTGTGCTCTCTCATCGGCATGCCCATTAATGTCACTAAGACTAAGGACGTGAGGAGGATGAGACCTCCAGTGCCTAACAGTGAAAGCATGGTAGTGCAAGCATTGAAATCAAAAGTGACCAGACTTTAGACAAAGAGTGAGCAGGGAAGCTGCTGAGGTCTCCACATAGGTGTCTGACACCACTCCCACCAAGGCAGATGTGAAACGGTCTCACAGCTCAGCCTCTTCTCCCCAGTCCCTGAGGATGCAGCTTCCGCCACAGCACATCCCATCTTTGCCTCTCCAGGTAAGGCTGGGATATTAGCATGAGAGTTGTGTAATTTTTGTTGTCTTTTGACATACAGTAACTTTGCTATTTTTTCCATTCTGGTTTGGGTTCTTTTGTTTTGGGTTGGGTTGGGTTTGTTTTGTCATGACAGCAAATATCTATGATGCAACTTATTTATGTAGTGTTTTCAGATTACACAGGACTA